CACGCCCTAGTCCCCCGCATGGATTGCCAGTTTGTTCCTGTGGCTCATAGCCGCTCATAGCCCTCTCAGCCGCGAACATAAAGGAGTGATGGTATTACCCGCTAACTTGCCCTCTTGTTCTGTGCCGCCAGGGCTCACAGGAGCAGGCGCCCGCTTGCCCTCCCCGAACTAACTGCCCGGCATGGCTGCTTCGTTGGTCATTGGTGGCAGCCTTTACACTGCTGTCAATGGAGATGGCGACAGTGACTGGGAAAGATGTTACCCTTACGAACACCCGGAGATCTTTTCCAGCGAGCCCATCCTCGAAGGCCACGGCCACACTTGTCGTGCTGGCTGGATATCGCTCACCAAGCTCCTCGTACTGCAAGGAATCCGCGATGCCTCGGCAGCCCAAGGACGTCCTAATCAACGGACCCTCGCCATGGTTGCTGCGGCCGAACTCGCGCACTCTGTTGGAGGTCATCGTGCCTGGCTTGCACACCACCTTCGAGATCTTTCGCAGGATTTGAGGAACGAGCTTGCCCAGGAGTACGGGGCGTTACTGGCTATGTTCAGGCGTCCGCCTGGACCACAGCAGAATGCCCTTTTAGCCTGGGCCAGGCCAATCATTGTGCATCGCCAGGAAGATTTTCCAATTTACCTCATAAAAGCGCATTTGGAGCAGCATCTTTTGCTTGCATGGCGTTTCACTGCCGATAAAGTCAATTTGCTTTTGCAAGCGATGTCCGATGCCGTCCCCAATGATAATGCCGTCATTCTGGAGTGGGTAGCGTGCTTCCTCGATGAATGTATTGCTACCGACATTCTCGAGCATTTAGATGAAGAGACCATGCATCTGCTTGAGGACAATCGGCATTCGGATAGTGACATCTAACGCTGACCTTGTGCGAATACGGAACAAACGGCGGCCTAGTACATCGGTCGTTATCCATGGTCATGCGGCATTCCTGTATTGTCATGCTGTTGTCTTGACTGATTTGGAAAGTTGTAACCATTGATCATGTTATACTGCTGATGTAGTCTCCAGCTGAAGGGAGCTGAGTCAGGGGAAGTTGGGAGCAAGCTTGTTGTTGTGTGACATTCTTTGCGCTGGACGGCACGGCTCTCAGGCAAGACTGCCCAGTCTTCCTCTACCTTGCCCCATCAATTGGGTAGGCTGCCTCTTCTTCGCCATGGCATTGCAAGAGCCCCTTGGCATGGAAAACCTGCAGCCTCCTCCATTGGTCGCCCCTCCGCTCGTAGCTGGGCGTGAAAACACCTGGATTACGGCGAGCCATGGCAGTTCAACCCTCCCCTTTGTTGTATCCCGGCCGAGTGCGGATGCAGGGGAAGCCATCTCGATAGTGCTTCTCCTCCCTGGTTGTGGACATTTCTATGTGGAGAATATGCACCCACTGCCTTGGCAAGGGGCCATCGAGTATCTGTGGAGCAACCTGGCTTTCAAAAAGGCCGTCATTGCCTGCGCATGGCCTGTGGCGGGACAAGCAGGCTCACCGCCTGCCTGGATGCTGCCTGACGGTGCTGCCTGGACCAAGGCAGTGTATACAATGGAAATTCTACCGCTCCTACTGGCCGTCCAACGTGATGCGAGCCCTCGCATCTCCTTGCCCACTCTCATGGGCCTTGGCTCTGGAGGAACCATCACCTACCAGATTGCAATCTCCGAGGCCCATGCGACCTTCCGGGCTTGTGTCTGCATGGGCCCCATTAGGCTGCCTTCTTTGCTGCCAGCCCCCACGGGCGGGGAGACACGAATTTTAGTCTATGGCGGACGAAAGGACGTAGAGACCTTTCAGCACCACCTTCGGATGTGCTACTCGGTGCGGGGCAATCATCGCGTGCCTCCTGTCACAGAAGCCCTTTCCGAAGACTCACACTTTACCGCCTTCAAGGGCTACGGACGCACGCAGTACCCCTGGGCCCCCGGCCTCACAATCCGCCAGGTCGTTATCGGCAAGGACCCGGAGCATGTGGTGTGGCCTGCATTGCTGAGCGATCCTGATTGGCTGCTGGCGGACCATATCGAGCTCCCGGAGTAGTCGTAGGGTAGAGAGTGCCTTCCTTTTTCCATTTTAATCGATTTATGCGCGCCGGCCCTTGGGTTGCCGCTACAAACAGACCAGCAACCGAGGTACGCCTGCGTTCTGGTGCTACTACTGTGCACGGACAAAGTAAAGGATGCCATCGTCTCCAGGTCATTGCTTTGTACATGCAGCACAGTGCAGCCACAAGTAACAGCCACCTGCGATGACACGCTGCATCCCTTTTCAGGTTGCGCGTTGGATGTGCCCTGGCTCAAGCTAAGGGTGGCTGGCTGACTGAACGAGGAACCCATTGTGTAGAGGGTTGTAACGCTCCTGGCTGGTTTTTGTCTCGCTTCTCTGCTTCTTCTCTCCTGTGCGCTGTGGTTTTTGTTTGGTCCTCCCTTTCCTGGTGTCCCTCCCTTGTTCTTGTAAGGGCTTTCCAGGGATCTTGGTGTCTGGAGGTTGCCTCGTGGTTCTCCGCTGTCTGTGGGGTTGTCACATGAGTTTGGCCTGCCATGTTCGGTGAGTGATGCCATGGAGTCGTATGCCTGTCAACCGTACGCGATCCGGGTTGGAGCGCAAGTGCTCCAAGTCCACGTTGCCAGGAGAGGGCAACTCACTGCACTTGCCACTTTAGGGACCAGTGATATCGCAATGACCAGGCAGATGCAAGCCGGCGTCACCCTGCCTCACGAATTCGATGCTGCCGGTTGGTGCCGATACTTTCCGCCGGAAATACAACCCTTGTTGTGTCTGGACCATTCTGCCTTTTTGAGAAACAGCAACGCCGTCTGCTTCGCCCGGCAACCCACGGTTCGCTGTTTTCTCCTGCATGCATGGAGGCCAGGCATCGGCATCATGCCGCATGGCAGTGCCCTCATGGGGCGAGCGGTGTCCACGCACAGTGCTTTGCCTGGTGACGCGATAGACCTTCCCCCTTGGGCGAGTGTTGTCACCGAACAAGGAGCGGGTAGGGAGACAGCCCTGTCTCCCGGGCCCTGGCAAACTCCATCACCTAATCCACCTAGGGTCTGCTGGCCGGATAATAGTCCTCGCCCTCCCACACCGCCGATTCCTCCACGTGTTGGAGAATACCCAGTGGGGGAGGTCAGTAGGATCGAGCCGCGAATTCCACATGGGAGGCCACCTCCCGCGCCAGTTGCAGCCGACCTACCACCGTGGCAGGTCCTTAGCCACCCAGGTCCACAGGTCCTTGCGGCGACCGCAATGCAGGCTATATGCCAGCTTCGCACGCTCAGTGCTGACCATGCGCCGGGGCCTCAGGAGCCTGAGGATAATTATGAAGAGATCCTAGAATCTTGGTACTAATTCCTAATAAAATACTAATTCCTTATAAAATATAGTTCATATTATTCAATTGTATTATAAGGGGTGTACGCGCATACTAATTGTTCATACGTTCATATCTTTCGGGGGATTTAAAGAAGCGTACGAACGAATGAAATTAGAGAATGAAATACATATGAAGCCCGTATATTATTATTATAGTATTAATGGGGCCTTTAAATGTGCTTTTGGGATATTATTATTATATTATTAAAGGCCCCAACAATTATATTATGAAAGGAACGAACAAAATGCAGGATTCATATTATTCAGGCGTCCCGCGCTCTCTTCTCGAGAGTGGCAGGACTGTCAGGATTTGATTGGATGCTCGAAGGATCCCGATTGGCGTCATCGGCGGAGCTGAGGTGGTCGAGGGATTTTCTTTGTCCAATTTTCACGGAAGATTGGGATCATGGCAGTCGTGTTTACATGGATGGCGAAGGGCTGGCTATTCAATGCAGACGACTGCTCAAGTCGCTCATGGCGCCGGTCCGAGGCAGTGGGAATACTTGGGGCTTGAACAGGACGCGCTTGGTCCCCGATCAGCTCGTGATGTTTTGGTCGGGACATAGCGCGCGACACACTCTACCAAGTCTGGCAGCGGCCCTGGGAGTTGAGAAGGACCGCCGGGATTTCTTGGGGCGTTGGGCGTATGCGCAGCATGGATCGCAGGATTACATTCTGACTAGTCGGCAGGTGGTACAGGCGATTCAAAATCATGTTTCGAAATGCCTTTTGCTGGGAAACGCAGACGGTGGATACATGGAAGAGGAGCTGCTTCATTCTATCAAGGCCTTTGCTGACGATAATGGCATAAATGGCGCTGCCGTGGTTCTGGGACATGAGGTTTTGCTTTGGGATGATGAGAAGCAATGGTGGTCTTTGAATGGGAAATTTCCCTGTATGAAGGTGGGGCCTGATCGCGTGGTCGCTTCAGCTGGTTCCATGGATGCAACACTTCCTGGACCGTATTCGGCTGTGGAAGTCGATGACATGCCGGAGGCACCATACTTCATTACAATTTCACGCCGGGGATTTCGTCGATTGCACTTGAGCAAGAGCTGCGCGGTGCGGCAGGAGCGATGTGCTGAGACGACTCCCGTTTTCGTCTTGAAGGAGGGGATCGCCGACGCAGTTTGCAAACTCTGCCGGCCAAAGATGGATGCGTGCCCTGACTCCTCCAGCAGTGGTTCAGAGTTTACGGAGGAAGAGCCTCTGGGAGCAGCCGGTGAAGACCCCGAGTGATAAGGTGATTGATTCGAGGGTGGTCTACGCTTTGTTTGCTTGAGGGGTGCTGGGAGTTTTGCTTGGGTAGTTGCAGGCACTCCTTGCGTTTTCAACAGAAGAGTCGCGAATTGCACTCAAGGGCCACGGTGGAGGTGGCAGGCGAATCTCAGTTGTGCGGGTTGTGACGCACCGGTTGGGCCATGGTGGAAATGGCCGTAGGATCTTCACGAACTGGTAGGTGCTGCACTAGTGAGCTTGTTGGTTATGATCGGATCCTTTCAGGATCAAGCGGTGGAAGATTCTTTGTTTGTGCGAGGTGGTTGATTTCTTCTAATTCGTTTTGGTTCTTAGTATTCCTGATTTGCGTCCTAAACGCTTGGTCAGGATTGATGCATCTGTAAGGTGGTGCAATCGGATCGCATTGCAATGGCGGGGCCACCGCCCGGCCCGCCGGCTGCACTCACGCTGCCGGCCGGCGTATCGAACGATGATGCGCTGGACTACCTGGACAAGAACCTCACGTCTGATCTGCTTCATATCCTCCAGGAGTGTGGAGTGCCCCTCGCACTGCAGTACAAATTGGGGAGTGATTTCAAGAATGTGAAGAGGTTTGCAGCATATGCGGATTCACGGACCGGGGTGCGGGAGGCCCTAAAAACAGATCATACCCTGGAACCTGCAGATCAAGTGACACGTGCGGCTGTTGCATCAGTGGTTTCAGCATGGGAGTCATGCAAGGAATACAGTTCGAAGGAATCTGAGCTACGTGCAGAGGCCAAAGTTCTTGGGATCACGAGACCGGTTACGCAGACAGAACGTCAAGCCATGCGTGCATCTTTTGAGGCAACATATGGTAAAGTGGAGGAGAGCTTTGAGCCTTCGGACGACTATGTTTCCACGAAGATGGAGGAGATCGAGAATGGGGAGTTGTCAGCGTCGAGCCTTTCAGAAGTTACAAGCCGGAAGCAAGTGAAGACCATGGGGTTACAAACTTCAGTGGACACTGGGGGTCATGTGCGGATCGTCAAGCAACGGGCTAAGGGGGTGATGCCTCAGAACACTGAGGAGCTTCGTGCAGTGCTGCGTGTTGAGGGGACGGCTTTCTGTTATCTGGCTTCAAAGTATCGCAACAAGGTGCTCTTCACAGGCATGAATCCGACGATCTGGTTGGACTACGCGAACTATCTGCTGGGAGAGAAAGTCTATCGCATGCAAATCCCCACAGGCAGCAAGGGATCCGGCAAGCAGGATCAAATGACGCTTCGACCACCCTGGACCGTCATGCTGACGTATGAGTACGAATTACGCAAAGAAGCCATCAAGCGTGCAGTTCGAGAATCCAGAGAGCTACGAGTTACGCTCAAGGAGGTGTGCGATGATCCACAGCTGAAAGAGCAATTCTTTACGGCGCCCATCGCATTGGGAGGACATCGGATCAAAGGGGATGGCTGGAAGGGCGATGGTTGGAAGCGTCAAAACGCTTATCCCGACTTTGGTGGCGAGCAGCCATGGAAGTGGCAGAAAGGAGGAGGCAAACCCCCGAAAGGCAAGGATAAGAAAGGTAAGGGAGGTGGAGACATAGGAAAGGAGCGGAAGGGCAAAGGAAAGGGGGAGCTGGCCAGCCGAACACCGGACGGCAGGCTCATTTGCTTTGCATACTCAACTTCTGGTTGCGACGGATCATGCCTTGTTTGGGTAGTGAAACGGACCAAACAGTTTGTTCCCCTATTCGCCTGGGAGGGGGGAGGGGTGAGGTTGGGTGGCGGTGGATTCTCTTCAGCTTGGTCGCCACCCAAGTTTGGGTTTTGGATCGAGGATTCACATGTGGCCTGCTTTCAGTTCTTCAGTCATGTCAGTTCACTTTCAGCCTGCATGCGAACATGTTGTTTTGAGATCGGATTTCACATGAAAATTTCAGTTTGGAGAGCTATTGGTATGATTGATTGCAATTTTGATAAAACATGTGTACAGTCGATGTTCGTGCAACATTTTGGGGCAAACGGAAGGTGGAGTTAGGTAGGGCCTTGGAGGCCTTTTAGTTTTGATGTCAGGGGGGCGTCCCTTGGAGGGACATCTTCGCGCAATGGTTTCATAAGATGGGTTTGTTTGATCAGGATGGAGGACCGATTGTGGTCTTCTTTACAGGAGAGTGGCTGCAGCTGTGTCCCACTGATTAGAAAATTTTATGCAACCCCCTGGCATGTGGCTTGTGCAGTCGATGATGCGGATGACTGTGCAATTCTGATTGGACAGGCGACAGAGGGCCTGGATCAATCGGACCTGGAACGAGAGGGTGAACTCCTTTGGACATGGATTTCAGGCCAGACAGATATGTTGAAACGGCTGCAACTAAAGATTTTGAGCAAGGCGCGGAAAGTGGAAGCTTTCGTCCGTGATACTCCTGCTGCTTCAGACGTATATTCGCAACAAGTGAGTGGTTCGATTGAGCTGCAGAAGAAGGTCAGCAGATCACAGATTCGTTGGTTGTCTGGAAATACTGGGTCTCCGGCAGAAGCTGAGAAGGTGGCAAAGAAGTTTTGGGGCATGGTTCTGGTACAAATCATGCTGGAAGCAAAGCTGCCAATTTGCGATGTGCCAGCAGACACCGAAGAACAGCGGGCAAATTTTGCGTTCCGTGCCTTGGGTGTTAGGCGTTCCAAAACTCTGAGGAATCGAGCCAGGTGCTGGAAGAAGGCGCGACAATGGTTTCAGAATGTTAAGAACGTCGTTTTCCCGAAAATTGCTGGGGATGTTTTGGACTATTTGGTCTTCTTGGAGCAGGAGGTAGGGACCAAGACTTGCATCGATGAGTTCATGGCTGCATTATCTGTCCTGGAGGATGCTGGTCAGGTCCCTACCCCTGCACAACTTTCGAAGGATCGATTGGTCGTTTCGGCCTCCAAGAGTTATATGGCAGATCTGAAGGAAGGCAGAACTTCACATAAGCAGGCTCCACCTCTGACAGTCTCGATGCTCGTTGCTTTGGAGATCTTCGTTTGTGCGCAGGAAAACCCGACATATGGACGCTGCTTGGCCTGGGCGTGTTTGATCTGCGTTTGGGCATGCATGAGGGTCTCAGACTTGCAGGGCATCGATGTGAACAGATTGTTTCTCTATGCATCGGGGCTGAAGGGTGTCTTGACACATACAAAGACCACTGGTCACGACAAGAAGGTGGCTGAGGTTCCTTTCTTCATACGTCGAGACGCCAACCTCTCGGGCCAGGATTGGTTGGATGTGGGTTTGAAACTCTGGTTTTCTTTTGGTTACAGAACCCGGACGTATTTGGTTTGGCAGGCCAGTCCGGATTTGGAGGAACCCGTCCTCAAGTTTGCTCGGCCCGAGATCATATCAGGATACCTGCGGACGGTTTGGTCTCTTCTAAAAGTCCCCCGACGGATCAAGGTTACGGATCAGACGTGGCAAAACAGTGGTACGACGCTGGTCCCGAGCGCCTGTTATTTATTTTGGACTGGTCATAGCATGAGACACGTCCTTCCCACTTTGGCGGCCACATTTGGGGAGCCGAAGGAGCGTCGGGACTACCTTGGTCGATGGCACGTGGGCCTGCAGCAGAGCGCTGATTACATTCACACCTGCCGGCAGATTGTTCACGATGTGCAGCGTTTGGTTTGCGACCATTTGTCTGGCGGTGCGCCGGGGTACGATGAGGATGAGCTTTTTGATCAGCTGGCCGCTTGGTTGAGGGGTCGTGGCGAGGACCCCGATCCTTTGATCAGACCTTTCAAGATCCTTCGTTCGGTCAATGGACACACCGTGCTGAATCAACGCTGGCCTCTACTGGATAACTCGGCTTTTGGTTTGGTGCCAGAACCCCCAGTCACTGCAGTGGAGAATCCGGATGTGGGATCAAAACCATCTCCCTTTTGGGCCAGCGTCAGCCGACACTCACGACATCGTCGACTGCACATTCGTGATGGATGTTGGGTATGCCCCAGCTCATGTTTCCAGGTTGAGGACATCTGGGAGGTCACACCGAGCGTTGCGGATAGCTTTTGCAAGCTCTGCTATCGGGATCAGGGGGCTGATACTTTGTCTTCTAGCTCGGGAGATTCGTCTTCCACGGAGATTGAGGATCCTCCGGATGATGAGTAGAGTTGACGTGTGGCTTAGCTGTGATCTCAGCCCATGGAGGCGGACTGGGATTGACTTCTGTGCAAGCGATCCGACTTGCATCTGAAAACTCCGGGTTTTCAGCTGTTGTTCTGGTGGATTTGTGGATTTGGGGGTTTGGGAGTCACGCTCCATGCTCTTTCAGTTTATGGGCTTTCAGCGGTCTGCATGTGCCCTGTCAGTTTCTCCATGTCAGAATGTCAGCTTGAACCGTTTGGGCGGCTATCAGATGCCTTTCAGACAGCCGGGTGCCTGTGGATGCAGGCTCAAATGTCCGTTGTCAGTGTCAGGAATTCTCTCATCTTTTCAGCTTGTCAGAGGTTGCGGGAGTTCTCACCTGTCAGGCGATAAGTTTTGATTCGTTTCTTTTAGGTTTTGTGCCTTTGAACTTAATTTGATCTTGATCACGTATCATGGCGGCTGCTGCACCCACTCCGGAGCAACAGAGGGAGTATCTTCGAGTCAATGTGGACTCCGATTTCCTTTATCTTCTGGAGGAGCATGGCGTGGATTTAGCTTTGCAGTATTCGGTGGCACAACACTACAAGAATGTCCGTACTTTTGCGGTTTTTGCAGATGATCGCGCCGCGGTGCGCACAGCTATCTCGGCCGATTTTGGGATCCGGCCGGACACTGCGGCTGATCGGGCAAGGATCGCTTGTTTGGTGACGAGTTGGGAAGCTGCCCGCCTCCTCCGTGAGGAGGAGGCCAAACTCAAAGCCGAAGCCAAGGTTTTGGGCATGCAGAAGCCCCTGGCGGCCTCAGATCGGGCCGCGATGCGTTTGGCTTTGGAGACTGTACGCGGATATGCCGTCACTGAGGCCGAGGAACCCGCTGCGGAGTACTTGGCACATAAGCTTGAGCAGATTGAAAATGGCGAGCCAACTGCTTCCTACTTGGATGAGGTCATCTCCCGCAAGGAGGCGAACTCGTTGCAACTGCAGACGGTGTTGGATAACCAAGGTCGGCTCCGAGTCACCCGTCAGAAGCCCAAGGGAAAACTCCCTCAAGGCACCGAGGATCTTCGTGCAAAGATTCGCTTGGAAGCATCCACTTGGGTCATGTTGTCTGCCAAGTGCCGGGGTCGGGCTTACCTTCAGGAATTGGAGCTGAGCCACTTTGACCGGTATTTGGAGTACCTGCTGGGTGACCGTTGCTACACGCTGCAGGTGTCTTCTGCTATGCCCTCGAGTTCCATGGCAGGCCAGGACCGTCATACTCTGCCCGTTCCCTGGGGTGTGCTCCTGCAGTACGAATATGAGATGAGGAAATGGGCCATCAAGGAAGCCCACAAAACCGGATCCTCCTTAGCCACCACGTTGCACGAGGCAACCCGCAACACTGAACTCAAGGAACTTCATTTTACATCGCAAGTGGCTCTTGCGAGGCGTTCCGGCCACGATGAGCAAGCTCAGTTGCCTCCTTTGAAGTGGTCTCGCAAAGGGGAGAAAGGTGACAAGGGACGCGGCAAGGGCTCCGGCAAGACAGGTTCCAAGACAGATGGACGGATCAAGGTGGGCGACAGCTGGTTTGATCTGGTTTCAAAGACACCTGATGGCCGGGAGTTGTGCTATGCTTTCAACATCAAGCGGGGCTGCCAGAACAAGGGATGCAAGCGAGTGCATGCGTGCCGAATCAAGGGTTGCCAGGGCAACCATCCCGCCTTCCAACATGGTGCTCAGGGCGGCAGCTGACTCGGGGGCGAGCCCGCCAGGGCTTCGCATTCGACCGATGGTTTGCGACCGGTTCTGCGCGTGCTGTATCTGTTTGCTGGGCAACCCAGGAAAGCTGATGTGCGGCATTATTTGCAGGGCCTTTGTGAAAAACATTCGGTTTCTTTGGTGCTATCTGAGCTCGACATATGTCGAGATCCGACGATGGATCTGCTTGATGATGAGGTCGCAACGCGATGCTTGGCTGAGGTTCGATCCAATCAGTGGGATGTGATCTTGGTGACGCCTCCCTGCAGTACTTTTTCCAGGGTTCGTTTCGTACAGCCGGGCCCAAAACCTTTGCGTTCCCGTCTCTACCCCTTAGGTTTTCCTTGGCTCTCCAACAAATTGCAAATGCAAGCCGACCAAGGGAACCAGTTTGTACATTTCTCTTTCAGGATCTGTGAGGCTGCTCTGGAGGTCCGCGCTGATTTCCTGCTGGAACATCCAGAGGACTTGGGACGGACAAAGGGCGGACATGTGCCGGCGTCAATCTGGCAGTTGCCCGAGGCACAGCGATTGATGAGCCACGAACGAGTTTTTACCTTTGCAATTTACCAATGTCGGTTTCATGCTACATCACCGAAACCCACGCGCTTTTTGACTTCCATTACCGCCTGTCGGCAGATGCCTTTCGTGGGGCCACCACGATTCAACTCTGAGGAGCGTTACTTGGGGCCTCTTCCGAGATTTTGTGGGCATAAGGACCATGGTTCCCTGCTGGGCAAGCTTTCGGCTGGGGCCTGGAAGGCCACGCCTGCTGCTGCTTATCCTGCTGCTCTGTGTGCACAGATTTCCGAGTGGGCCTTCTCCGTCTTCGATGGGGGGAGGCCAGCTGCAATCCCCCAGGTTGACACATCGGGGGCTGGAATCATCTTTCGTTTTGATCCTGTGTTGCTCTCTTCACAGCAATTGGGGGGTGAAGGGGCAGAGGGTCTGGCAGCAAATATGTTGTCGGCTGGTCAGGCCTATGAATCTCAGCTCCTGAGATTGTCTGAGTTGCTGCCGGATGAAGACAGGGTTAGAGAATCCTCGGTGGTGATTAAGGGTCAGAGATCTTTCACAACTGGGGCCTACTGTCATCATGGCAAGGCTGGATTGAGGCGCAATATGGCTTCTTTTCCTTTGAGCTCGGAGCTCTTGGCTAAACTGATCACTACGAACTTTACTGGCAGGCCTTTCACTTCGATGGCGTTCTTTCGAGACATTGGTCAACCCCTTCACAAAGACACGACGAACGGGAGTTACGACAACCTTCTCCTGGCATGTTCCTCCTTCATGGATGGAGGGACGCGACTGGTGCTTGCGGCCTATTCGATTTCCCAGGATGGTCTCCTGGCCGATGGGGATCGGAAGAAGCTGGTAGATATGGGATTTGAGGTCCCGGGACTTCGAAAGAGGGGCCCGGAGTGCTTGACGGAGGACGCAGTGGTCGAGACCCTGGGCAAAGGTGGTGCTTTAAGCAAAACCACCGGAGAGGAGACCCTGGGCAAAGGTGGTGCATTAAGCAAAACCACCGTGGAGGATATCCCCTACAGTGAGCTGCAGTCTGGTTGCGAGGGGCCTCCGATGGTTGGTGAGTTTGCTGGATTGAAGGATGAGTTTGTGGATGGGTTTGGCAGGTGCTCACCAGGGAGATGGCGGCCCGAGAATGAGGCTTTCGGACAGTGCTCATGCTTTTGCGGAGAGACTGAGGTCCCGGGTGCGGAGGTTTGTGGTGGATTCTTTTCCAGACCTAGCTAGGGCTACCTTCAAGCTGGCCACGGGAAAGTGGACCGGCCCCCTCTTCGATCCGAAGGGATTGGAGTCGCTGCGAGAGGATTGGTTCCAAATGCTGCCGGATCCTGTTCGCGCGCGGGAGATGATTCCGAACCAACCGTTCTACCTTAGGGCCATTGCACAAACTCTTCAGATTCTGGAGGATCCTGATTTTCGGATTCTTGAGGAGGGCAAGTATTGTTTCTGCAATGGAGTAGAGGTGGGGCATTTGGAGCCTATCGGACCTACGCCGCAGGTTTATCGACGAAGAATGAAAGACCAGAAATATGATGAGTCAGAGTGGGAGCCCGAGATGAGGAACTACAGAGACGGTCCGGGAGTCGAAAAGGCTCTTCAGGCCGCCTTCGAGAAGGAGGAGTTGGCCGGGCGCATGTTCCCGCTTTCCATGTCGGAGGCGAGGCGGCGCTACCCTGGGGATGCGTTGAGGGTGGCGGCTCAGGCGGTTATTCCAAAACCCGACAACGATTTCCGTGTGGTTCATGATGGGACCCATGGGGTCCAAGTCAACAACGATGTGATCATGAGGGACCGCCTGGAATCTCCCGGTGCTCGAGAGGTCGCTTCTTTGCAAAGGCTTGGTGCCACGTCAGAGGAGAGGGTGTTCTTCGGCATCGTCGGGGACGTTTCGAAGGCCCACCGAAGGTTCCTCCACCACCCAGAGCATTGGGGGGTACTGGGGTGCAAGACAAGGGCCGATTCCTCGGTGGTCTGGTTAAACCGGACCGGAACCTTTGGCGTGGCCTCTGCAGCCTATTGGTTCTCTCGGCTGATTGGTCTCGTAGGGAGGCTGGCCTTCCGCGTTCTGCTGGATACCTTCATCTTTATGCTCATTTATGCCGACGACCTCCACGTTGTCAGTGGAGGACGGGAGCGCTGGATAAACATCTGGATGATGCTGGCTCTGCTAAGCATGCAAGGCACTCCTTTCTCTGATCATAAGTGGAGAGGCGGCCTGCACGTGGATTGGGTGGGATACTGGATCGACTACACCAGGTTCCACATCGGGATTTCGGAGAAGCGATGTCGATGGATCAGTGATTGCATTGATGGATTGGAAAAGGCCAACTGGCTTGTGGATGTCCGCCGATACCACGAGCTGCATGGTAGACTGGGCTTTATGTCAAAGATATTGATCTGGATCCGACCTTTCTTGGCTCCTGGCTACGCATGGCTTGCTGTGGTGCCAAAAGGGGCTGTGCTATCGTTGCCCAACCTGGTGAGGTGCACCCTGAAGTTCATTTCGAGTCGCTTGAAGGCTGGTTGTCGCACCTATCCGGCCGGGGTCGGTGAAAAGGACCTAGGCGAGCTTTTCAGGACGGACGCGGCTTGTAATGAGAACTCGGTTGTGCTTGGTGGATGGTTCTTGCACTTGGGTGGCGAGCCCAGCGCGGCTCCTTGGTTTCAGATCATTCTCGGAAGGGAGGACGTTCCCTGGTTGTTCAACGAGGAGGGGAGCGCCTGGGCGAGCACTTCGGCGGAGCTGTTGGCTTCACTGGTGGCCCTACACCTCCTGGGAAGAGACTTTGGGGAGCTGCTTGGGGGTCCTGGGGTCCTGAGGTCTTGTTTCTCAGGAGGCACGGACAACAAGGCCACGGAGGCTTTGTCAATCAAACTCTTAACTACCAAGGTCCCCCTGATGTTCATTCTCATGCAGTACGTTGATCGCTGTGATCACCTTGGCATCCGTTGTCATCTTAGCTGGCGTCCTCGGGATGCGAATGTGGAGGCTGATCAGATAACCAAACATTGCTTCGATGCTTTCAGTGCTGGACGGCGCCTGTCAGTAAGTTGGTCTGAAGTGGATCTTTCAGTGCTGATGCCTCTGCTTGAGTTCTGCAATTTTAGGGCGGACTTGAACGCCATCAAGCTTGATTCGCAAATGGGCCCCATGTCAGGAAGCGTTCGATTTGAGAAATCAGTGTGGGGGTGATGTGACCTAGGGATGAACCTCGTCTTCGAATGGGGGACGGACATGCAGTGTCCTTCTCGGCTCATCCCTTTGACGACCAACTTTCTCCATAGGAGATGGTGGTTTCGAATTGGAATGCTTCAGCAGGCTGTGCGATCCAAAACATCATGTGCGATTGCATTGGATTTGATTGAAGAGATTTTCTATATGATGACCTCTTCTCCCCTCACCATTCTACCCCCTTTTGTTGTTTAGTTCAGGGGATCTTGAAGATTAGGCGATTGCGGGGTACAAGCCTTGTTTGGGTAGTGAAACGGACCAAACAGTTTGTTCCCCTATTCGCCTGGGAGGGGGGAGGGGTGAGGTTGGGTGGCGGTGGATTCTCTTCAGCTTGGTCGCCACCCAAGTTTGGGTTTTGGATCGAGGATTCACATGTGGCCTGCTTTCAGTTCTTCAGTCATGTCAGTTCACTTTCAGCCTGCATGCGAACATGTTGTTTTGAGATCGGATTTCACATGAAAATTTCAGTTTGGAGAGCTATTGGTATGATTGATTGCAATTTTGATAAAACATGTGTACAGTCGATGTTCGTGCAACATTTTGGGGCAAACGGAAGGTGGAGTTAGGTAGGGCCTTGGAGGCCTTTTAGTTTTGATGTCCCACCCGCCCCACCCCAAGAATGTTTTAACAGCCTGCGGGGGACGGACATGCAGTGTCCTTCTCGGCTCATCCCTTTGACGACCAACTTTCTCCATAGGAGATGGTGGTTTCGAATTGGAATGCTTCAGCAGGCTGTGCGATCCAAAACATCATGTGCGATTGCATTGGATTTGATTGAAGAGATTTTCTATATGATGACCTCTTCTCCCCTCACCATTCTACCCCCTTTTGTTGTTTAGTTCAGGGGATCTTGAAGATTAGGCGATTGCGGGGTACAAGTGGCATGGTTCACTGCTGCCAAGTTCGGAGTTGTTTCGGTGATCACCCAACCTGGAAGCACTGGCAAGAGCATTTCGCGAAGTCGGGGAAGCAGACCGACGCCTGACTCCCACAGCTCAACGTGCTGTACTTGTTCGCTGGTCTTCCGCGCGATGGCGATTTGAGGTACTTCCTTGAACGCTGGTGTGATGCGCACGCCTTTGAATTAATTCTACGTGAGGTTGACGTGAAGCGTTCGCCTAATGATGATTTATCTCAGTCCTCACTCTGGGAGAATATCTTCTCGGAACTCCGTGCGGGACAATGGGACATCTTGATCTGCAGCCCGCCTTGCGGCACGTACTCTCGTGCCCGACACCGATCTGTCGGGAGCGGATCCGGACCAGTTCCTCTTCGCAATTGCATGCATCCATGGGGTTTGCCTTGGCTTTCCGAATCGAATGCAGCTCTAGTCAAGATTGCCAACTACTTTGTCAAACAATGTTTGGAGGCGATCGGATATCAATGTGCAGCGAACAGATTTTACATCTGGGAACATCCCGAGGATTTGGGTGTTACCGAGACTGGGGATGTCCCGGCAAGTATTTGGCAACTTGCTGAAATCCGATCGCTCGACGGTTTTACTTGGGCGGTTCACCAATGCGCCTTTGGAGCCTTGCATCCCAAACCAACTCGCTTCTTGTCCAATCTTCCACTGGCGGAACAGTGGTCCAATGGCTGGCCCACCTTTGATGCTGATGGGGGCTACACTGGTCCTTTGACTTGGTGCAACCACGATTGGCATGAATCAATGATGGGTTGGGACGTTTCCTCAGGCACGTGGCGCACCGCTGGATCTGAATGTTACCCACCTCTACTTTGTTCGCATCTTGTTGATTGCATAACATCTTCACAGAAACAGACCGATCTTCCTGAAACACCGGCCGATGCTGAAACCTTGGCCCAGTCTCTCCTTCATCGGATGGATGCCCTCGCACCCGACGACTTGCAGCCTCTTGCTGAACTCCTGCCCCGGGAAGCTTCTCACAAGGCTGCTGGGCATCAACGTGAAGGCGCTTTCTTCGCCGGGGCCTATGCCCGGGGCGGTTTCGTGGGACTGCGCTCCTCATGCCATTCTTTCCCATGTTCCATCAAGGTTCTGACCGCAGCTCTTCGAGGCGCCTTTCCAGGACAATGCTTCTCTACGCTGGTTGTTTTCACTAACACACTGACGGCACCTCACAAGGACGTGCACAATGCTCCATTTCCCAATTTGCTTATGCCACTTTCCAAGTTTACTGCTGGGCAAGTTTGGCGGGAAGATTCCGAGGGCGATGTCTATCGCACAGTGGCCGGCCAGGCCCGACCTGGTCGCTTGTTGGACGTGGCGGCTGGACCCTGTTTGCTGGACGCTCACAAATATCTTCATGCCACGGAACCCTGGCGCGGCTGCCGCATCGTCCTCGTGGGGTTTACGGTTCGCCACCTACACCTTCTTTCACCTGATCAAGTTGCCTTGCTGGCTGCGCTGGGCTTCGTCTTGCCCGCTGCAGACCGCGCACGCATGGGGGAACACGCTCCTGCATCGGTCATGGTACACAAGGCGTCTGGAGCAGCCGAGGCGAACCCCTCGACAAAAGCCAGTCAGGAAGTGATCACGGTGGATTCGGGGGATGAGCTTCCGGAAGAGACTGCAGACACTGAACCTCCTTTTGATCCGCGTACAAGCCGGGCATTTGGACAACCTTTGATCTGTCGTCATGATACAGGCAAGCGAGTCTTCGTTGATGGCTTCGGACTATGCTCCCCGGGCCGTTGGCCCCCGGGCCAAAGGGGACAGCTGAATTCATGGGAGGAGAGCTTGCATGCTGAACGGATGCAAAGGATCTTGCGTAACTTCGTTTTGGCTGAACTCCCTGACATTCGGAAGTCTGCTTTCCTCTTGGCTGCCGGAAGGTTGGAATCGAGTCCCTTCACACAATCCGCCCTGGACAGACTACGTGGTGAGCTGGCGGGAACGCTGCCCGATCCGGCCCTGGCGCTTCGGGTTCCTGACCGCCAGCCTTTCTTGTTGTACCTGCTAGCGCAATCTCTGCGGATCTTGGGAGACCCTGACTGGGAGATTCTGATTCAAGGAACGGAGTGCTTTGCAGAAGGCGTGCCATTGGGTGACGAGGAGCCGCTGCCCCGTACACCGCAGGTTTTTGCCCGTCGTGAAAAGTTCCGAAAACTGGATGCATCACCTTTTCAAGCGATCATGGACAACTACACGTCAGCAGAATTGTCCTCTGAGCAACTTGAGGAGCATTTTCGGGCTGATGAGCAGAAAGGCCGCATGCTGCCGACTACGGAGGGAGCAGTGGCTCAGGAGTATGGTCCGGGGCAGCTTTTGGTAGCCGCCATGGGTGCAGTGGAGAAACCCAATGGTGACATCAGACCGCTGCACGATGGAACTCACGGCGTCAACTTGAACAATCGGATACGCATCTTGGACAAATTGGAGACACCAGGACCTGATGAGGTGTTAGAGATGGTTTCCCTTGCACGCGACTCGGGCGAAGCAGTGTTCGCTATCTCTGCCGACATATCCCAAGCTCATCGCCAGGTGAAGGTCAGGCGAAAGGACTGGCCTAAAATGGGGTGCCGTTCCAGTTCGACATCACGTACCGTATGGCTCAATACTGTCGGCACATTTGGCATCAGCTCCGCCGCCTACTGGTGGAGCCGGCTGTTCGGATGCATTGGGAGGTGGGTGCTACGCATCTTGACCACGCTCTGGCATATGGAGGTGGTCTACGTGGATGATTTACACCTCGTGACCGCTGGAGACCCAAAATTCCTTGTGCTTTGGATGGCCCTGGCGGCGTACGAGGCAATCGGCACACCTTTTGCCTACCACAAATTCAAAGGTGGGATCAAGGTTGATTTCGTGGGATATCATATCGCATATGATCAATGGTCTGCAGGGCTCTCATCCAAACGCACAAAGTGGATAGTGGGCTGGATCAACGATCTTGAGGCTGTGAGTTGGATGGTAGTGGGTCGTGCCATGGTAGAGTTCACTGGCAGGATGACTTTTGTTGGTAGATTGCTATTGTGGCTAAAACCTTTCTTGGCTCCGCTGCATTCTTGGTGTGCAGTACTGGCAAGGGGAACAACAGCACGTGTTCCCACGATGGTTTATCTCTCGCTCATCTACATCCGGAAGAATCTTTTGCTGACACACCACTTGGTGCCCGCTTTGCGGCAGGCCCCCTTTGTGACCCAGTCTTTTCGAACCGATGCGAAGTGTGAGCGTGGACGTGTCGTCTTGGGTGGTTGGTCCCTTGCCAAAGGGAACGTGCCGGCCAAAGCAGACTGGTTTTCTGTTGAAGTCACACCGACAATGGCGCCTTGGTTGTTTAAGGAGGATGGAGCAAGCGAATGGGCATCAGCCAGCGCCGAGTTGCTGGCTTCTTATCTGGCCTTGTTTGCATTTGGTCACCTTCAGGCTGCTGGATGTCGCAATGTCATGTTGGCAACGATCTATGGTGGAACAGACAATCGGTCGAACCCTCAGGCCGGAGCAAAAGGGTCATCTACGAAGTGGCCGCTCATGGGGCTGCTGATGCAAATGTCTGAGACACTCCTTCATTCCAATCTGCGTGTGAAGCTGCAGTGGAGGCCACGGGAAGAGAACACGGAGGCCGACGATTTGACAAATGGTGACTTCTCGAAATTCGATATGTCGTTGAGGAGGCCGGTTTCCTTTTCCGATCTGAAGCTGGATTTGTTTGAGGAATTGATGGCTTGCTACGATGAGTACGAAGCATCGAAGGTGGCCTTGAGAGAACGGAACCCAATTCGGGAGAAGGCTTCGAAGAAACAGAAGCTGGCCGAGAAAACTCCATGGTGATGCGCACCAAACGCCTTCGGTGGGGCATATGTCCGTTCGGCGCTGCATCCTATCACCAACGGGTGGTGGGGTCGGATCTGCACCAACCATGCAAAAGGTGCGCTCTTGCGCTGAGGGTTTAGTTGTGGTTTAGGCCCCTCTCACTCCCCTTCCCCCCTTTGGCCCAAACGCCTGAACAAACCTTTTGGGTTTCCCAAATCGTTTGTTCTTGAAGTTTGGCCTGGGCGGGTGGGTGGGGCTTAGTTCTTTGGGGAAAAACAAAACTTGAGAAAATGCGTTTTGGACCGCTTACGCCATTTGGGGAACATGCTTTGAGATCCTTTTCTGTTGGGCCGTGGGCCTTCAGATGATCGCCACCCGCCGTGGCATGGCTTGAAGGCCGACTGTTTTGGTACCCGCCCTCCCTGTCCCTTGTTTTTTTTTTTTGTGCACCGCGCCCACTTGGGCTGCCGACGCTTGCTAAAGGATCGTGTGGCCCAGTAGTCCGGTTCGTCCGGTTAGGCCTTTCTTCGCTGGCTATGCAACTTCTTTGCCTAGTAGTCCGGTATGTCCGGTGAGGCACCATGCTTCTTATCGGCCCAGTAGTCTGGTTCGTCCAGTTAGGCCACAAGTTCTGCTGCTCCAACCCGGGTTCGCCTAGTAGTCCGGTATGTCCGGTGAGGCACTTTCTGGATGTCCCTATCTTCATATGCTGCACCTTGAGTGCGTCGCTCTGCCTAGTAGTCCGGTACGTCCGGTCAGGCATCTTGTACGTGATGATTCACCCATGTGTCTCACTCGCTGTGATTTCATGCCGGGGCATATGTCCGTTCGGCGCTGCATCCTATCACCAACGGGTGGTGGGGTCGGATCTGCACCAACCATGCAAAAGGTGCGCTCTTGCGCTGAGGGTTTAGTTGTGGTTTAGGCCCCTCTCACTCCCCTTCCCCCCTTTGGCCCAAACGCCTGAACAAGTGAATCTGGCAACGTCGCAACTTGCGACGCACCCCCGCACTCGGTGCTACATGTGTGCTCCCGGCCTCTTCGACGATTTCGAGTACTGAGTGCACAGGGTGACCTAGCAGTTCGGCGCGCTGGCTGTGGACACTTCTACGTGGAGGTTATGCGCCCGCTGACTTGGCAGGGAGCCATTCTCCACTTTAGAACAACCTGGCCCTCTTGTGACTCTGGAGGGTCACCCTCGTCTGAGCTTGGCCTGCGGCAGGGCAAGTGGGCTCCCCGCCCGCGTGGATGTTACCTGAAGGCTCTGATTGGACCAAAGTAGCAATACCGTGGAGATCCTGCACCTCGGCACCAATGTGATGTGATCCCTCCCATCTCCTTACCGACGTACCTCGCGGGTTTGGGTTTGGAGGGACCTGATGCGTGCCGATGCGCAGGCCAGCGCCAAGGTGGCGTGGCCCTGTGTGAGATGCCTGGACTGGGAGGTTCCTCGTTGTCATTATCAACCCTGTGGCGTTAAGGGTTTGATGACTCGCTGTGGACTCTCCCCGTGGAATCGGTAGCTGCAGCTATTCTCGCCCCCCCTCTGGCCGTGCGCGAGCACCTTTCTGGGCACTTGTACCCAGGTTGACGGAAAACCCTGTGCTCGGAGCTACTCCACTGGCTGACCACCATGGAGTGCCCTGGGCCGGTCTTGCTTGATTGTTCTCGCTGTTAAGTCCCTACTGGCTGACCACCATGGGGCATATGCACATCTCTCATCCCCCCTAGGGAGTCTGACTTGCAACATCCTTTCGCCATTGAGTGTCGGTTGTCTGTCCTTGACAACGAGTACGTGATCCGAACCTCTTCTGATGACCTCGGTTTGAATAACCGCTGTCGCACCAGTGGCTACATGATGGTGGTTTTGAGAATCTGGCAACGTCGCAATTTGCGACTCCCCCACAAGCTCTGTGCTTCCTTGTGAACCGGGACTTCATTGACGACCTCGAGTACTGAGTCCGTGGGGTATCTAGTAGTTCAGCGCGATTGCTCGCTTTGTTTCTTCGGTGTCTGTTTGCTTGGTGGTTGCTTGTTGTGTCTTGCGGTTGTGAGCGCTGACTTTGTTTCACCCTTTACGTCGAGCCCAACAAGACCGGCCTACTGTGCTACTGATGTAGTAAAGAGGCGCCAGTCCAAAAAAAAAAAGACGATGGGTACGTAATCCTGACTATCGAGTGATAACCTTGGTTTAATTCAAATGATGTTGCACCAGTAGCTACATGATTTTTTAAGAATCTGGCAGTGTTGCAATTTGCGCTCTGTGCTGTATGATTGCACCGGAACTTTAACGCGACTTTGATCACTAAGTGCGTGGGGTTACCTAGTAGTTCAGCGCCTTTGCTTGCTTTGTTTCTTCTGTTTCTTTGGTTCTTGGTGGTTGCGTGGTGTGTTTGGTGGTTTGAGCGCGCTGACTTTGTTTTACCTGTTATGTCAAGCCCAACAAGACCGACAAGCAAGAGTTGCAAAGACCACCGCAGCGGTTAACAACCAAGACATGCAGTAAACCACCAGTGCTAACAGAGTGTGTGATTTTAAATTCTTCTGGCACATAATTGCATTTTGCAATTTCTCCACTTAACTTGGTCCTGCATTGGCTTTGAATGGAAACTATTAACAAGCTTGGGTACTGAGCGTGGATTCAAATTTGTAATTCCGCGTTTGGTTGGTTCTTGCATTGCTTGGTTGGTTTTGGTTGTTTTGGTGGGCTTGTGACCCATTGTGGAAAGCTGTCAGATCGTCGTTAAGGGACGTAGCCTTGATCCAAGGCGTTTGTTAGACATGGAGCAGTTCCTCCAAGGCCGTCACCTTGGCAGACATTCCAAGAACGGACGGTCTGTTTGAAATGCCACAGCGGTCGATGTTCAACTGTTGTAAAACCAAGATGCGGTAAACCACCAGTGCCTGTGGAAGAGTTGGCAGGGTGATCAGCCTGGGTCTTCTGTATTGGCCAACTGCATTGCAGGTTAAAGCACTTGGTGTTTGTCATCTGAATCACTGCTGCAAGCATGCAGACCTGCCTGCAGGCACTTAACGACGTACTTAAAGGCCACCGCAGCGGTCAATGTTCGACTTTGTCATTACCAAGACATGCGGTAAACCAACCAGTGCCAACCTCTTCCGCAGGGAGGGTAGTGATCAGCCAGTGGGATCTTGGGATCTTAAGGGAACACAGCCAACTGCACAATGCAGGGTAGAAGCGCATGGGTGTTTGCCGTACCAAATGTTCTGACTTTATGTTGATCCAGTGGGCTCTTAATCTTAGGCCAAGGAAGCAGGCCTTCGCAAGTCGTTAGACCCTAAGGTTGCAGTGTTGCAAGGGAAAAGGCTTCTACTTCTGAAGAAGATTGCGTTGTCAATCGGCTGGGTTGACATGGGCGTTTTTGCTCAGCTTAGGATCGCAACGCGCGTGAGCTGTGGAAAAGACGATGCAGAAGGTGGAGAGTGGTATGTTGAAGGGACCTCTGTCGTCGCAGCAGCTGGATGACAGGATCCCTCTGGCTGGTTGCCCACTTGGCGTTTTGGGGTGGAACAGACTTCTGCTGCCGGGCGTAAGCTGCGGCCTGTTGATGATTTCACCAAGAACAAGTGAATCTTGCCTTTGGGTCTATGGATAAGCTGGAATGCGCTTCATCAGCTAATCTGCACCTTTTTGGGCAAGGGCCATGTGTGGGGCATGATTTTGAGCTTGCACTTTCTTCGGAGCTTGTGCTCAAAGGCCGTGTGCGTCGTGGTGGAAGAAGGCGGGGCATCAGCCGCTTTAACCACACTTGATCTTCGAGCTGCTTACAAACAGTTTGCGGTGTCGGCCGACTCGCGGGCTTGGGCAGTTATCGCTTTGCTTAACCCTTATACGCTGGTGCCGGGTCTTTTCAAGTCGAAGGCGTTGCCTTTTGGCAGCGCAGCCTCGGTGCTGCATTTCAACCGTCTCTTGAGATTGTTGCGGAGGTTGGGAGTTGAGCTTTTGATCCCATGGGGAAACTTTTTCGACGACTTCCCTGCAATGTCACCGAGTGCCGTCTCAGACAATACCATGAGTACAATGACTGCCTTGTGTTCCCTTCTCGGGTTCGCCTCGCTGACGACAAGCTGAGTCCCTTTCAGCCGCTGCCACCATGTTGGGGGTTGAGGTCGATTGTTCAAGGTGTGATGAGGGTTTGGTGCGTAAGGAACAAGCCTGGTCGTGCTGAGGAGCTCGTGGTGTCTCTTGAAGAGTTTCTGCGCGAGGGAGTGATCTCTCGAAAGCGTTATCTCAGTCTCATGGGTCGGCTCCATTACACCGATTCATACATACTTGGAAAGTCGGGCCGTTTGATCATGGCGGACATTCGCTCGTGGGCAAGGGGGCATTGTTCCGACGAGTTGGTCTTGGACGATGCAGCAAGAGATTCGCTGCGTTTGTTCATTGCGCGTCTTCGTGCTTGTGAGCCTCGCCAGGTGCCTTGTGGTGTGGCAAGCCATGTTGTGCACGTCTTCACGGATGGCACCAGTGAGGGTGAAGTGCACTCGATTGGTGGGGTCCTTGTAGTGCAAGGAAGGCTGCATTCTTGCTTTGGGTCTTTTGTTCCCGATCATTTGATCAGCAAATGGTCTTCCTCAATGCGACACATTATCGGGCCTATTGAATCATATGCAGTTGCGGTGGCAAGGAGAGTTTGGCACCAATTCATTGCTTCGCAGCACGCTCTGTTTTTCATCGATAATGTGCAGGCACAAGACTCCTACATAAAGGGCACCTCTGCCAACCCTCACGTGCGGGAAATCCTCCTTTCTTTCGAGGAGTCGGAAAACTTTCCCCTTCATGGACGTGGTTCGCTCGAGTGGCGAGTCCAAGCAATGTCGCAGACGAGCCGTCACGTGCTACCTTCGGGTTTTGCATAAGGTTCAATGTCGCAGGGTCACTCCCTCGTGTCCCATCAGTGGTTTTGACCTTGTTGATCTTGGCGCCCTTGGTAAAATTTGAAAGTGGGGTGAAGGGGGCGGACGCCAGATCCGTTTCGCCCCATGCGAAAAAAAGA